TCTATTGGATCCTAAACCCCACATGAGATCAAGCCATCAACCAATGAGAACACAGTGCCCAAATAAGGTCTTGTTTGTGTTTAAGGCAAACAAAGAGAAGCAGGAAATCAGTGCCATCTTGTAATGGAGGACCATGCGCGCGTTCATGGCCCTCCACACTCCACCCCACTCTCATTATAGACATAGAAACAAAATGCATCCAGTCTGTGCCACCCTCATACCTGTGGCTGTGTTTGAGCCATTGTCACAGCTACTGTGTCAGCCCGTCTCACTGGGGTCTTCTTCCTCTCTGACCCTCCACTTCATCAAGCATGCTGTCCTCCTCCGGGGACCAGTCCCTCCTGATCACGTGCCCTGAGTATGTGAGCGGAAGTCCGCCATCCTCGCTTCTGGGACCCACGCTGGCTGTTCTTCTTCCAAAACAGGACTGGTTTTTTCCACAGTCCATGAGATATTCAACACTCTCCACCAACACCAGAATTCAAAGGCATAAGTTCTTCTCTGTTCTTCTTATTCACTGCCCAGTTTTTGCATCTGTATTTTGTTACGTACCATCAAATTGAAACCAACCCCTAGCTCACCCTTCAGTGGGATTTCAGAGGCAGTAAATCACATGGGAGGAGACTGCCCATCTTTCTCTCACAGAGCAACTGGTAGATTCGAGCGACTTGCCTTTGAGCTGGTAGTGACACTTCTACCACGAGCCCACCAGAGCCACCATGCATATGTTGTTGTTAAGTGTCTCTGAGATGAGTACAACTCATAACGACCTTGTGAACAGAAGATCGGAACCCTGTCCTATCCTGTGCCATCCTTACCATCTTTGACACATTTGAGCCCATTGCTGCAGTCATTGTGTCAGTCCATCCAGTTGAAGGTCTTGCTCTCCTTCACTGACCCTTCACCTTTCCAAGTATGATGTCCCTTTCCAAGAAATAGCCTCTCCTAACAACGTGTTCCTCTAGTGTGGAACATGGACATGAATAAAGATAACAGAATTGATGTCTTTGGTGTGTTAGAGAAGAGCACTGAACATCCCACGGATGGCCAATAGAACAAATAAATACGTCTTGGAGAGGGTGCAGCCAGAGTGCTCCTTGGAGGCAAAGATGATGAGACTTCCTCTCACATACCTCAGGCATGTCGCTAGGAGGGGCTGTTCCTTAGAGAGGGACATGATACTTGAAGGGGTAGAGGGTCAGTGAAGGAGAAGAAGACCCTCAACCAGGTGGATTGACATGGTGACTGCCTCAGTGGGATCTAGTGTGTCAGGAAGTGTGAAGACGGCAAAGGATGGGACAGGGTTCAGATCTGTTGTTCACAGGGTCACTATGGGTCGTACTTGACTCAACAGCACCTAACAACAACATGTGCGTACATATGAGGGGGTTGAAAATACTATAGCATGTTCACAGTTAGATGTAGTTTTTAAGTTTGTGGGGTTTTTTAACCTTGATAGCCATTTTTTATTAACACATTAATTCCCTGAGCCCAGTATGACATGTTCTGACCAAGCAAGGCACAGGCCAAGTTCTCTGCATAACCTTATCTATCTAGCTCGCACTCACTTGCTAACTTCTAACATTTACCTTACCTTTTCAAGCTTTCTGTATTTTTTCTTTTTAAAAAAAATTTTATTATTATGAATTTTTTTCATCAGAGGCACCTTTATTTTCAAACTGATATCCTTACTCTTTAGAATTTTTAAGAGGGTCTTGACAGCACATATTCCCAGTGCAACAAGTCTTTTTATTTCTTATTATTATTTTTATTGTTATTATTAATTTCAGTGAGCAT